GTTTACATTAACGTCCTACGAAATCTTATTAATTAATTTAACTCCGTGACAGCTTCAAAATTTTGACATTTGATTAGCAAAGACCATATCAAATTGATATTCTCATTTCACAATTCTTTTTTTTTTAATACATAGCGATTAGTAATATAATACTTCTTTAATTCTTAATATAAGACTTATTTAACTAATTTGATTAGATTAAGGAAGTTAGATAAGTTAGTTAGTTATAAGAAATATGACATGTTTTTTCTAAAACATCATAATCATTTTCTTTAATGTCCTCCTTCCCCCATTTACTTGGTTATAGTTGAGAAAAGTATCCATAGGGGTAATTTAGAAAAAATTGATAAATATAAAAAATAGGTCTTATATTTAGGATCAAAACTAACTTAACAATTAGGTCCTATATTAAGGATCGGGAGAGTAGCTTGCTATTCTATATCTCATAGTAGTTATGATTGTAAATTCTGTCTTTCAAATAATGAATGTGCATGTATTCAAAGGATTGTCATTACTTTTCAAGCTAAATGTGAATATATGGACACGATAATGCAATTTCAAATTTCGTATGTGAACAAAATAAATTCCAGATTTTTAAGGACTCTCATATAAGTCAAATATTCATAAATAGCGGGGAAAACTGAAATTTATATATACTTTCCTCATTTTTTTTAATTATATCAATTTTCTAATTATATATGACAATATGTCCTAATTTTTTTAGGTGGGTTTAAGGTTAAATGATGATTGGGGGGGGGGGAGGACACATGAAAACTTAAATCGATCTAAGTTTTGTTCTTTTTTTATTTAAATATACAATGCATTAAAATAGATGATTGCGAATAAATATGTCTTAAATAAGGAATTCATAATTGACAAACAATTGAGCCATGAAATCTCAGTTTGCGTGACGAGTTTCTGCAATCAAACTCACTTAAATTTATATTCGTGTGAAAAAAAAAATTATGACCTTACAAATAAAAAATAATAAAACTGGAGTCTCTCTGGTTAAAAAAAAAAAAAAAATACTGGAGTCTGAAAAAATTGAGATTGACTATTTCTTTACTCCCGGTGAAGTGGCAAACTTCCGTAAATCCAATGATAAACACTTACTTTCTTTCAACTGCCTCCACATTTAAGACAACTAGATCCTCTTTCTTTGACCACACCATTTCAGTTTTTTTTTCCCTCGTCCCTTTTTTTCACAAAAATTTTAGTCATATGAATATAAATATTTCTAGAACAAGCGATATTTATGGATATTTATGGAGAAAAAAATTGAATTAAACATATTTAACGACTAAATAATTTAAAAATTAGAAAAGTTATTCACATATGGCATAAAGTTCAAAAAATTTTATACTATCTTAGTTCTTAATATAAAAAACAATTAACTAATTTGAAAAAAATTAAGAAAACTGAAAGATTACTTTAAAGTATTTATGTCTATTTTTTTTCCAAACTAAGTTGTCATACTTATAAATTGATATGTAATCTAAGGATACACATAAATATTTTAGAAAAATCATATAATATATGTAATAATTAAATAATTTTTTAACTTTTTTAACCTTTCTAAATTAATCACTTAGGTCTTATATTAAAAATTAGAAGTAGTACAAATTAGTATAAAATAAATAAAAGTAAATACTAAAGTGAGATCGGTTAGATATTTTGAATGTGATGGCATACTAACAAAAATTTAACGACATATAATGACGTTTAAAATCCAGAATTAAAAATTAAAAGGATACTCGTACATTTTTTTTTTTGACCGGAGGATACTCGTACATTAACATATGATCCACCTCGGCAATTTAACATTTATTTTTGGGCCAAACCTCGGCAATTTAACATTAATTCGTTATGTTTTTGAACTTAACTGTCTTTGTTTTTTTGGAAAAAAAATACTACCTCCGGTCTTTAATATAAGACCCTGTTTGACTTTTATTTTGGTTCTAAATATAAGACTCCAATCCACTTTATCTCTCATATTTACTCAACTTTTTCCAAGATAATCCTTCTAATAATTATAGTTCTAGTTAATACACTAGATTAGTAAGGATATTTTAGGAAAGACAACACATATTTAAGACAAATAACTAACTCAACTTACTTTCTTAATCTCCTCAAATTAGTCAACTGGCTCTTATAATTAGGATCGGAGATAGTATTTGTTCTTTTATAGATATCACCATTGCGTGTTTGTGGTGGGCCTATTATGGCCCAAGTAAATGATATGAGGCCAAGATTTTGGGCTGCTGTTGTGTGGCAAAGTAGAAATCTCCCATGGGATTCATGCTCCATGGGCCATTAGTTTGGTCTATTTAAATCAGTATGTTTCTTCTACTCATTGGATTTCAAAATTTCTTAACAAGGCACGAGCATGGAAGACCCTTTTTTTTTTTTTAACCAGAAGCATTGAAGACCATATTGGATTTGAAAAGTTTGACTTCCCTATTTATTTTAGCAACACTAAAATAAAAAGAGTTTTTAACTTCAAAAAGTTGACAAGAAACCCAAGATGGAAATCAGCCCAATCAAATGAATTGATCACAACCTTCATTCTAGGCCCACTACAGAGGCTATCCTGAAACTCGGGCCTGATAAACCGAGTAGTGCAGTATGTTGCCTACTAGCTATATGGGCTAGACTGTCACTGTTCATTCTCATGCAATTATTCATTTTTGTTTAGATAAATGAGTTTCTAAATAAATTATTCAAAAACTGGTTAACCAACCAAAGACAAAAATAAGAATTTGCAAACATGACTGAAACAAAACTTCAAAAACAACCTTTTTAATATTTATGGGGTGTTTGGTAACCTTCAAAAGTGCTTCTAAGAAGCACTTTTTCGCAAAACGAAGCAAACTCCTCAATATATTTACTTCCTAAACTGTAAAAACACTTTTAAAATCATAGATTGGTTTCTATCCAAACACTCCTTTAATGGCCTGTTCGGGACTTCTGGATTCTTTTGGTCAAATCGAGTTTTGGATAATTATAATCAATTTGTCAAAGATAATTACTACTTCCGGTCCTAACATAAGACCTCCTCATTTGTAATCTATAAACGAGATCTTATGATTAGGACCGGAGGTAATATAATCAAGTATTATATTTATAAAAAATGAAAATTATCTATAAGTAGTAAATAATGTAATTCGTTTATCAAACTCAGTGTAATAGATGGAAAGTCCCTGTGGTTTACTCTTTTTTTTTTGGGTGATAAAATATGTGTTTATAATTTTTATTTTGTCATTTCAAACTTTTAAGTGTATTCATGTGCATCCATTATTCATGCTATGAAGGGAACGAAACCTTTATAATACAAATAAAAAGAAAATTCCAAGGAAATTAGGTGTGGAATCGTAGGTCATATCAAATGGTCCAAAGGCAAATCAGCTAAACTTCCTGGTGGTTTGAATAATGTGATTCCCTCGGAAGCTGGAGACATTGAAGTTTCCCCCGCACTACTTATTGTCTCATTTAATAAGCTAACGTCGTTTTCAATCCCAAAAATGTGACTTCATTTTGTTATTGGTTTTTTGAAATTTGAAATTAGTAACTTTACTTCATAAAATTTAAAACCGATAATTTTAGTTCTGAAGATTTGATTTAATTTTGTTTTGCTTAATGATTTTTGGTCCCTAAAACAAAAACAAAAACAACCAAAAATAAATAATGTCAAAAAATAAGTAAAGATGATATTGACCTTAAACATTTTTAGTCAACATGTTTTTTTGTCAGAAACTCTCATTTGATATTTTTGAGTTTTTAAAAGCTAGTGAAAGTTAGGTGTCAAATAGTTATTAGCTAGACTAACACAAACCCCATGGTGCCCGAGAAAACCATATAGATAATGCCATCTAAGTAAATAAGGTGTCGAGCAGAGTGTGGATGATGGGACTTGGGAGTGGCAGCTCCCACCAAACAGTCCAAAGGCAAATCAGCTAAACTTTTTGGGCGGTTGGATAATGAGAATGACACGTGGCGAGGGCCCAGGGAACCATTTTTAGTTGACAAGCCTTTTGAGTACAAAGATGAGACAGGTCCAGTCACCACAATAATTAAAAAAAAGGATGAGACGGGTCCTTGATTAAATTAATTATCATCTTTTGAAGAGATGAAACATGTGCTTACCAAGCGCATTAGTTTTTATTGGCACTTTTGATTTGGTTTCAATTCTTCTAATCATGGTACTACCTTCGATCCTAATTAAGTTAGTTAACTAATTTAAAAAAATTTAAAAAATAAATTTAATTAGTTATTTGTAATAAATATATATCGTCTTTTTTAAATATTCTTGCTAACCAAGTTTATTGGTTAGAACTACCATTATTAGAAGGATTTCTTTGAAAAAATACATAAATATGTGAGATAAAGTAAATTGGAATATTATAATTAGAACCAAAATAAAAGTTAAACAAGATCTTATATTAAGAATAAGAAGTAATATAAGTTATGAATAGTGTAACCCATTGTGTGTGAAATATGAAGTTCATAACTCAGCTTATTTGAAAAGAGAAGATATTTAAGAACTTTCTAATTATATTAAAAACAGTTATGGATCTTAAAATTTTAAAATATTTTCTAAAAAAAAAATCGTTATCTTGTGTTAATTTTTTTCCATCGCTCACCTCTCATATTTTCGATGTCTTTTGCAGTTTCAGCGTTCGATTTTTCAATATTCCCGTTTTAGATGTTTTCAATAATCTTTTTTTTATGTTTTCAATAATGAAATGAATTAAAGATGAGTGTGGGAAACATAGAAGATATGTATTGAAAACATTGAAAATTCGAAGCTGATTATTGAAAATGAAAAAAAAAAAAGTACTAAAATTAAAATATGAAAAACAAATTAACTTGAGGGAGAAAAAAAAGTTTGATGTCAGCCAAGAATCATGATCATTTTTTGAAATTTTAAAATTTTGATATCCTTAACAATCATTAATGTTTTTATGGGGTCTTTAAATATATTCTTATATCAGATTGAATAATGAATATGGATAGTGATAGTTACATTTATGCTAAATACTGGCATGAGCACCACCAAATATTTAGTGGACTCAGGTCATTAAATGTGTCACTATTGAAGACATTAAATAAAGTAATAAATAAAAAAGACTATCATTTATTACACAGAACAGAGAGGGCGTAACCAATACATACACTCAGAAGAACATACGTATCAATACACGTGTGTACGTGTGTGTGTGTGTGTGTGTGTGTGTGTGAAGCTCATACAACAATATGACACATATGCCCTTGTAAATTTCTGGAATTACTTCCTCCTCCTACTCCTCCCCCTCCTCTCTCTATATGCCAGAATATAGTCCCTTTGATAAACTCACAGCATGCAACACCTGACCAAATATATCATAATACACAATTCTGGCATCTGATTCTTGAAGCTCCACGGACATGAAGCCCTGACCATCATAGTAGAACTTCACACCTTCTCTCTTCAAATTAAAGTCTCCTCTCCATGACTTTGAACCTCCTCCACTAGTTAAGAACTGCATTTTGCTGCACCACGCACCAGAAATATTGATATGTTGATTCAGAAGAAAACTATTATGTGTTTGAAAGATAAAAAAGACTATAGGGGAAATTTGTAATTATAGAGCAAAGATGGAGATTAAGCATACCTGGTAGTGCTGCTTATGTGTTCGAGACAATGGTCATGGCCATTCATGTACATATCTACGCTGTGTGCCTGAAATTTTACCATGAAACCTCATCCTTTAGGATTTCCCACGTTTGGAATATGGTTGTCCTTCAGAATTAGGCTAAGATTTGATTGAAACTACCTCAAGGATCGGAAGGAGCTGTTTTACAAGCTCTTGGGTGTCATCATGGTGTCCTACACTTCTGATTGCGTGGTGCCCAACAACAATCTTCCATTTTGCTGTTGAAATCTTCAGTGCCATTTCCAGATCCTATTTGTAGCCCCAGCCAAAAAGGATAAAGCACAAAATTGTAATATGCTGTCTTTTCTTCTCATCAGATATTATGAAGCTGTTAATGCTTGTGAAACCAACCTTCAGGGCGTTTGACAGGTATTTCTGTCTGGGAAGAACACCTCTCCAATCATATTTATGGTCCTTTGGCTCATAAAAATACTTGTCCACAAATGGAGTTGTATCGACAAAGAAGAACTCAGCAATTTCTGCAATTTGTTTTGACATTAATGGGAAGCAGAATCAAATTGATCATCTTCATTCACTTTCAGGATCCAAGCTTACCAGTGTCAACAATAAATGATCTTTGGCAAATCCATCTTTGATCTATTTTATTCAGAATTGGATTCAACTGAGCCAGAACATCTCCCCTGTAGTCATGATTGCCCAACACTAGAACCAACAAATTCATACATCAGATAAACAGATTTATAACATAAAAATCATGTTATAATTATTTGGATATTGAGATTTAAAACTCACCATTAAACCATGGCTTTTGGAGGCTACTAGCTGTGTAGACTTTCGAGAATGAAAGCTCAAATGCGGGGTCATCTATACCAGTCAATCCATCATCATAAAAGTTATCTCCAGTGGATATCACGAAGTCAATATCCAGCTTTTCGGCAACTTTCCCCATCTGACATACACACAGAGATCTCAGTAAACACATAAAACTGGTAATCCGAAATATTTAGTTTTAATTAAGCAGTCTAGAAGGTAAAGAGATTAGAGAAGCTGAAAATCCAAGTTTCTTTAGCAGAGGAAACTATGGCCAGAAGAGCAGAGCATGCGTATCTTTAACGTTGTCAACTGCTTATATGTAAGAAGGATATGAAAAAGATGGATGAAAGACCAGAGTAACTTGAGGCAGAAAAAAGGAATATGAATGAGTTTTTAAGAAGACAGGAAAATATGTGGAAGCAAGGACTGCTTGAAAGACCTGAGCAGCAACTTGAGATTGATTGTATTCTCCTTTCCTTCCCCAGTCTCCAACAACCACAAAACTAAGGGAGCCATCATCTTTTACCGGGTGATCTCTGCGTTCAAGGAGAGATAACACAGAGAGAAAACATACACAAAAGCAAGTCGACCATAACAGGCTTGAACTGATGAAGCCAGCCATGCTTCTCTGTATGAGAGTTTCTACTTCAAGAGCCTCTCACACAGAGAATCAAGAATAGAATATGGTGTATTTTCCTTGTTGAAACTTGAAAGAGTGTACTGGTGGAACTGCTTATATATAAGAAAGCAGAAAAGCACGAGTGGTTAAAAGATATGATTGTTGATTGACAAAGATGTGATTGGGGATGGGCTTGGCATGCATTATGTGGCATTAAAATAATAAGATAATGGACTAGTCGGAGAAAAAGAAAGAAGCCTATAAATCATCAATAAGATAATTTTTAAACTACCAGCCCTAACCAATGTGTGTGGTACAGATAAATGGGGGCAAAAAAGTTATTACTGTTGTTAGTATAATTATGATATTCCGTGGGCCCCAAATAGGCATCTCTTACAAATTTGTGCAGCTTCTAAGCAATTTGGCCGTTGCCTAATGGCAGGCTTGGTTTGTTTGTTTTTATGTGTGTAAATGAAATTGGAGCTCTCTCAATTGGAAGCATTGAAACAAAGAATTGGAAATTGCTGAAGCAGACGTGCGTAGCAATTAATGATGATGATGTGTTCGTTTGTAGATACGTATAGGGAACTTGTTTTGATGAAGTCAGGTGTTTTTGCAAGCACTCGACAATGAAAATGAATCCAGTGAAAACGTAACCCATCCTCACTCGAGTCATTTTCCACATTTAAAGAAAAATTCTATTGATTTTGCGTTTTCAGTGGGCCCCATCTTGTTGTCATATATTTATATCTCTTTCATTGTTAGAGGAGAATATCCGAAGTCAGATTCTTCTAGTTTATCTGTCGGTTAAACATTTTTCTGTATATTTAGTGCTTTCCACTATCATCTTCCAGCCTCTGCTCTTCTGATGGCACAGCAGATTAGTTCAATGTAACGCCATGCGTACACTTGATATGCTTATATGTCTTAACTTACATCTGCATTCCTGGACATCTGAGAAACTTCTAGTTAATATTATACCATTCATTTCTGTTTTCTGTTCCATTACATTCTAATACGATCATGGCATTTTCCAGAAAATCTTTCATCACATGAAGTTTTTAATTCTAAGCCACATATATATTTTATGATAATATATTCTAATGCAGAAGAGCCAGCTCAAGATACTGTAGCAAATCTTCAGTGGACCATATGTTGTCTGTAAAATAATCAGATCCAATGTGCTTTGCACACAGTTGGTATATCACGAGGGATTCAACTTTATGCCCTCCTTATCAACTACCAATCATCAAACGCCATAATCTTTGCGAATTTAGACCGGAAGCATTGAAGAAGACAAGTAGATTCAGTTATGAAATTTCATCTCCTGCTTTCAAGATCTCTTACTGGGGAATGAGAGCTGCATATTCAAAACTCTGCACTCCCAGAAAATAATACAATGATAACAGGATTAAGAAACCATCTACTACAGATTCCAACAATTAAGGATTTCTAAACTTTACTGACTAAAACTATAATAAATTTACATGGATGAATGTAGCTGCTTTGACGAAGTTAACCTATGCAAGACTTTGCCAGAAACATCGTAGAACTCGATGTTTGCATCTGTCTGAGTCAATTGCACTGACATGAAACCCTGTCCATCATAGAAGAAATTTAGTCCTCCTCTGTTTACTTTTTTTACGTCTCCCCTCCAAGCCTTTGACCCAGCTCCACTAGTCAGAAATTGTATGGGGCTGAAAAAAATTGCAAATTTAGATGGATATGCTTTTCTCTGATTGATATGTGGGTACAGATATGACTTTTAATTCAGATTTACCTGTGTGCGTCACTTATGTGCTCAAGACAGTGGTCATGCCCATTCATGTAGAAGTCAACATTATTTGCCTGAAATTTGACAGAAAAGAAGAGTTAAGCAGAACTCAGAAAAGTAAGAGCATGTTTTTTTCCCCCATTAATGCTTCTTTTGGGGATTGGGGCCATATTGTTTACAACGGTTGAAGATCATGATTTTCCTGTATAATATAATGGATGATTTGTCTCCTTATCAATCAACTTTAATCATTATGCAGCCCATGCCCACGAGGGCCATGCTCGTGAGGAGGATAAAAACGTCATGCTCATCTGTTTTTAGTAATGAAACTAAGAACTGCCTTCCAAGTGCTTCTAAAAGATTGATAATTTAGAAGTTGAAACTTTAAAATATTTAAATCTAATACAGACTATATCTAAAAAGGACAGAGCAATACCCATCCCCTCAATATTTAGAGAATCTCTAAATACGGAGGGGATGGGCATTGCTGTGGCCTTTTTAGAGAGAATCTGAATGATTGAATTGGTTTATCTGCTTACTTTCCCTATCCTCAATAACAATCGAATTCAGAATTTAGTTGTCTGAAATTCCACTTTAACCATTGGATGAAAAATAAAGTGCTGTTAGTTGTGTATTCTCAACTTTTTCTTACCCGAAGAATTGGGAGAAGCAGCTTTATAAGCTCTTTTGTATCACCATGGTGACCAACACTTCTTATTGCATGGTGACCCACAACTATTTTCCACTTAGCTGTTGATTCTCTCAGTACCAATTCCACATCCTGAAACACCATAACCCCAAAATATGTCAGTGAAAAATATACATATTGTCCTCAATCATGTAAAGCAGAAACACTCTTTACCAGTTTAGTACCTTAAGTAAGCTTTTAACATAGGATTTTCGTGGGAGAATGCCTCTCCAATCATATCTATGTTCACCTGGATCAGAGAAGTACTCCTCAACAAAAGGACTGGTGTCCACAAACAAAATCTCAGCCAGCTCTGAAATAAACAGAAGAAAAATAACATCAGAAAACTATGAGATTGAAAATTTGCTTTAAGTAACACGAATAATCGTGACCTCAAGTTACCTGAGTCTACAATAAAAGACCTTAAGCAAAGCCATCTGCGATCAATTTCTCTAAGGACAGGGCTCAATTGGGCTAGTGCATCACCCCTGTAGTCATGGTTCCCTAACACTGGATCATAATTAAAGAACAAGTTAGACTAAGCAATGAGCTAAAGATTGAAGATATGGAAAAAAAATTATATGGATATAATTCCATTACTGATGCGTTAAGGAACTTACCGCTGTACCACTGTTTTTGCAGGCTTTTTGCTGTGTAAATATTAGTGAATGATTCTTCAAACAAGGTGTCATGTTGGCCAGTGAGTCCATTGTCATAGAAATTGTCTCCAGTAGATATTACAAAGTCTATGTCAAGCTTATCTCCAACCCTTCCCATCTGCCAAAAATAAAATGTAGCACCACGATCCAAGCCCATATTCAGTCCATTATGCCAACCCAAAGCCCAAAACTCTCAAGTCCAACATCTATCTCACTAATGAGAGGTCCAGTTGCAATTCATGAATGTAATGTATATTATAACCAGATTTCTTTTTTCAAATGTAAATGAAGAAGATTAAATTAAGTTTCTACCCAGCATATGCGAGTAAAACAACCAGTTTTCCATATAACTGCATGATCATTCTATTATAACTTTTGTTTCCTACAGAACCCAGAAATGAAAGAGAGAATCAAACCTGCAAAGCAACTTCAGACTGGTTGTAAGCTCCTTTTCTTCCCCAGTCACCAAGAACCAAGAAGCTGAGGGATCCATCAGTTTTTGAAGGGTGTTCAAATCTCTGAAGCTCTGCAGATGCATGAAGCACCCACAAGCCAAAGCTAATAGTGAAAAGAAGGAAGATAGACATGCTGATGGGACCTGCCATAGCTCTTGTGGTTGATGATGCAGAAACCACACCAAAGCTTTACCGAGAATAACTTATGATGCATGTATATATATTTTTCATTGATCCCTAAGAACCCCTTGTCGTCATCTTCCACTAGAGAATCCACACCGAATGTGTCAGCAAGTGTAGCAGTGGATAAAGTGGGCAGAAAATAAAATAAGAGAGGAGAATCTCTGGTTAACCAATCGTTCAATCAACTTGATGGCAAATCAGAACAACGTTGCTTAAGAAACCAGCGTATAAGAATAGAGGTTGAGGAATCAAAACTACGAATGGTAGGTGGGGCTAGAAGATTCTTTGAAAGTTAGTTTGCTAAAAACTTAGTTACCACTTCTTTTGCCCCATATGATGCCAACCCCTAGATCGTATATGTAGCTGGCTAGCTGCGTCACCACATAAATTGGCAATCATTATCTGAAAAAATGCACCAAAAATAAGCCAATAAAGCAACCCTTTAAACCCCCCAATCAGCGAAGTAATTTGAATATTAGGGTGGCCAAGACAAAGCGGTGGGTGGATGACTCGATGGGAATGGGACATGCAAAGAATGAAAGAAATGGCACATTGACCTGAAACTGACATGTCTGACGTTAAATCGACAGAGAAAGTGGGACGAGGTCGAGAGAGAGAGAGAGAGGGGCATAAGGAACAGAAATATGCGAATATGCGAGTAATACTTGTGGGATCGAATGTGGGATCAAGCTACAATGCTGGGGAATATTCGGAGATCCCGTTGGAGGAGAGGGCATATTACTCAGAATATTCTAATCTTGTAATTCTAGTGACGTTGCACCTAATTATTCCGGTGTTTTCAGTTTTCACTTTCGCATCAAGTCTTTTTCGCAGTTTTCTTGCTTTCTCTTTGTGGCCAACCATCTGTCAGACAAATTATGGTGATAGATATATAATCGGGAATTATAATTCAGTCCCACAAAAAAAGAGAAATAATTATAAAAAAGTTTCAATAACAACCTCAACAACCTATAATGATAAGTCCTATAATAAGAATGAAAACTTCTGGGACTTGTTTTTTAATTGTTTTCCTTGCTTAGGTCCTTAATATAAGACTTCGTTTGACTTTTATTTTGGTTCTAAATATAAGACCCAAATTCACTTTGTCTCTAATATTTATGCATTTTTTCCCAAGATAATCTTTCTAACAATGGTAGTTCTAGCCAATACACTTTATTAGTAATGATCTTTTAGAAAAGACAATACTTATTTATAACAAATAACTAACTTAACTTTTGTTTTTAATCTCTTCAAATTAATTAATTAACTCTTATAATTAGGATTGAAGGTAGTATTAGTTGGAGCTGAACAGCTGATGGCCGATGGGCCACACCAAAAGGGTGTTTAGTTGTTGGCAGCCAAAAATACTTTTTAAAAATATATTTTTTGTAAATTAAAATAATTTTTTTTACATATTTATTTTATATATTATAAAATTATAGTTTAGTTTTTATCTATACACTCCTTAAATAGGTGTTTGAATTACTCCTCCCGTTTTTTCAATAAAATACAAATAAATATAGAGTTAACTTGCAAATTTCTTTTGAAAGTTTTCACCAAATTTATCTAGAAAGTTTTCACTTATAAAAAAAGCAAGGCAACAAAGAGTTTTCTTAGGTATGTTACCCCTACCATTAAAATAATAATGTTGACTATCAATATTGTTCACCGTAAGAGTAATATTATTACGATTTTAAATTTTCGGAATAAATTTATATCTAAAATATTTTTGGGTGTCCTTCTAATATAAATTTGCATCTTAACCATATAATTATAGTAAAAAATGGTCAAATTTTAACTAAAGATAATAAATATGTAAAAAAATATAATTTATTTTCCAAAAATATCTTTATTTATTAAAAATAGTGAATGGAGAAGAAAATTAATGAAAAAAAGGATAAAGGACATATAATTAATTGAGGGTAGAGTTAAAAGAGATGCGTTAAATGTTGTCTAAGTATAGTTTACAAAATAATTTTTAAAAAATTCATTCAAAATTGTAAATCGTAAAAAGCTACTGAAAAATTATTTTAGGTAATTTATAATGGATGAGATAGATATGAAAAAAATATCTCTTAAATTATAAAAAGACCTTTTTTTTTTTCAAATTCATTTGGCGTTTTCCAAGCAGGAACTCCAACATCAGAAGCGGAGGTGGCATTTTCAGATGCGCAAACTTGGGCCGAACAACTAGCCATAATGCCATACCACGTGCACATACAGTATTAAAAGATTATTATTATTATTATTTCTGCACTTAAAAAATATTATTAATTTATACCTAAAAATTGATTAATATGTGGCCAAGAAGGTAGAAACATGTATAAGCTTGTTTAGGATAGCTTATAAGTAGTTTTTTAAACATAATTTATAGAATATGAGGTAAGTATATGAAAAAAAAAATTATTTCAACTTGTGTGAAAGTGCTTAGAAGCACTTTTTATGTTGATCCAATGGTTCACTGCTTCCTACTTATCAATGTATAATGGTTATGAATTTTTGATCTCTTTAAGTGCCCGTTTGGATTAGCGGTGAACAACTATGATTTTAGATAATCGTGAATTTTATAAGTGATACTGGCTATAAGTGATACTGGTTAATCGTGATTTCTGTTTGAATATTTTTTTTATAAATGATTTTAAGAATTGTGATTATGTTTGGTTTTTATTTATTACAATCACTTATGGGTGTATAATTACTAAAAAGGACATGAAGTTAATAAAGTTGTTTACATTTTCATAATTATTATATTTAATAATAAATTTTATTAAATATAATTTAAAATGACATGAGTATTTAAATATTATTTTTATTTTAAAATTATTATTATTTAAAATCACTTACAAAATTTATGTGTAGTACAAATATTAAATAAAAGACCCCATATAAATAAAAGATGAACGAAAATATATAAAAAAATTTGATTAGCAGTTTTAGTAACATAGACAAGGAAATTGAATCTTCAATCAAAATTATAACTAAGAAATAAAATTTAAAAGAAAAACAGTTTCATATTGTATGTTTTTTTTAAAAAATTAAAATAATTACCATTAGAATGAGGGGTAGATTGGAGAAAATTTAGTTACTGAAAATTCATCGGGATTTTTCAAACGCATAAGCTATCTTTTGTTGCTTATCCTAAAAGTGCGGTGAGAGGTTAAAATTACGATTCATCAGGATTCTATAAAAATTATCCAAACACCCTAACCATGCTTTATAAGCACTTATTTGAATTTAAACGGGCTTATTTGAGATCCCACCGCTTAACCAAACAGGCTCTAATACCAGAGTCAGATAATTATTTTAAAATATTTTTTAAAAAATAGTTAAATTGATTATTTATCATAAATGCATTAGTCTCTTTAAATTATCTTATTTAATTGTGTGCATGGAAATACTCTTTAATCCAACCTTTTACAATTAATAAATGTTTTGAAAAAATGAAAAATAAAATAAACTGAGATTTTATATTTAAGACAAAATTTAACTTTCCAACTAAATTTTATACTGCGAAGAGGAAATAGTGTTGAATATTAGCTTACATAAGTTTTGCCCTCACGTCAACCTTTCTGCTTCCATGTTTATATGGTCTAAGATATGAGACGAAAACGAAGAAAACTTGGGTGGATTGTTTGGTTTATATTTATTAGGTCCAATTTTCCAGTTAAATACTGGCATGATTCTTATATAATATTAATACTGGTCTGATAGAATTTTGAAATTTTATCCATGATGAATTTTTTTGGTGTTAAGATTTGATCGGAAATGAAATGGATCTAACTATCTAAATTTTGTGGAAAAGAATATTTGCTTATATTCATTAGGTACAATTTTCTAATCAAATCTTACCATATGATTTTTTTATTTTAAATAATGAATGAGAGTTAGGTGCAGATAAACCTCTCAAAATTTTGAGTTTGAATAAACCTCTCAAACTTTAAGTTATTTATAGATAAATAATGAACAAAACTGATAATATAAGAGTTATCTACATAAATATAAAAATTTTAAGGAGAATCATTATAAGGTTTCAAAATTTAATATTTGTGATAAAATTGATGAGGTTTTTTGTATAATTTATTAGAAGTAAATTAAAATTTACATGTTTTTAATATAAATTTTAAAAAAATCAATGTGTATCTTTGAACCGGAAGTTGAGTGGAAACTATTGTTGTGCAAATTTACTTAAAAAATTTAAAATCGTATTGATATTGTCCATAGGGAAAATAATAATAAAATACCACTTGAATTCCAAAAAGACAAATAAGGGACCTGAATAAGCAAAATGACAAAGAAGGCATCAGGTACCAATATGGGATTTTGATTTTGAATTTTACAAAATACATAGTGGGATTTACAACTTTCATAGTGAGAGTTACTACTTCGTCAATGGGTTTTACAACCTGTTTTGAAGGGCCGAGCAAGTTTTGCCTAATTTTACAAACACATAGTGGGATTTACAACTTTCATAATGAGAATTACTACTTGGTCAATGACTTTTGCAACCTGTTTTGAGGGGTTAGGCAATTTTTCTGTAAAAAACAATACAATTCCACGCTGAATTTTACAAAACACATAGTGGGATTTACAACTTTCAGAGTGAGAATTACTATTTTGTCAATGGGTTTTGTAACATGTTTTGACATCAAAAATCAAAATTCCAGATTGGTACCCAGTGCCCTATTTGTCATTTTGCTTATTCAGGTCCCTTATTTGTTTTTTTGGAATTCAAGTGGTATTTTATTGTCATTTTCCCTTGTCTATATGTCCATATCATAAAAAAAAACTAATATTAACTATTCAAATAATAACATTGACAATTAATATTTTAAACTCATATTATCAAATCCTACTTTCAATCCTAATTATAAGATTTTATTTATAAACTATAAATAAGATCATATAACTAAAACTAGAGGTAGTAATTAAAAGACCGCTTTCAAACTGATATCTGAACAAATAATGAATTAAGTTAGCATGTCATCGTCGCAAAGAAAACTCAAAGCATTGGAAGATCAAATTGGAGAGAGGCAAAGTCAAAAAGAGGTCGAAAAGTGGTGTTTGCCCGTGTATTATTGCATATTATTATCTCTCCAATCACTCCAACTCGTTTCTATAATTTTAAATTTTTAGAAGAAATTTGTACCTAAAAAAGTTTTTGGATATTTTTAAGTAAAAATTTTTGAGACAAATTTCTATCTCCACCTCATTTAAGAATGCGAATGTTATTCCTCGAAAATAATAGAATAGTTAATTTTTCCTTTTATGTGTGTATATATATAAATGATCTGATTGATTATCTGTTCAAAAACTCAAAGTAACATGGTGCCTCGATCCATTATTTTGAATTAATTCACACGCATCAACTGTTTTAGACGTTTGTTTTTTGTGGGTTGCAGATGAAGATTCAGATTCTCACTTGCAAATAATAACGGTTAGTTTATACTAGTACCTCATTGGATATCCCAAAGCCTGCTCTCAATATCTTGATACAAAGAGGCTGCATCGTTAGAAATTTTAGAACTGCAGTTATTTTTATGAATTTCAAATTTTATATTGTTATCGATCAAATCATAATACGCATCGTATACATTTAAATATTAGAATTTCACTCTAATGTTAACATTAAATCTCTTTTAGAAAAATCTCATTTAAATCCAATCAAAATGCTCAAATTTCGAATTCATCCATCAAATACAACAAATTATGTTCCTAATTCATCGCAAGTCTTATTGTGAATTATTAAATTGATCTTGTTAATTTCTAAACCTATTTTATGATTAAACAATAACACATGTTAATTGAGGAGTACAATTTTATTGCAAAAAGTCTTGTTGTAAATAATTTATGAGGACTCATATGATTTGTAAGAGTATGATTAAAGTAAATAATTAATTTAGTTATCTTATATTAATAAATTCACACAAAAAAGCACTCATATGTAATATATTTTAAATTTATTTCATTAAAATTTTTATATATTCATATAAGTTGAAAATAATTTTTATATATTTATGCCCCAATGGGCCTATCTCACAAAAACGGTAATATGTGAACTCTATTTATTATTTTAGAACTAACAAAATTATGAGATAAAAATGCTGTTTCTATTTTTTTTCCCTTTAAAATTAACATTAATATGACTTGTAGGCCTCGAATTAACACTAATATGATATGCATCTAGATCAACAAGGTAGAATGGTGACTAATTTTGAATGTCACTATCATCTATATAATAGATAATATTTTGTTTCTGATTACAAGAAAGCATAACTTAAATAGGAGTATTCTTAAGTTGGCACAAATATCAGCTTCGTTAAATTTTAGAAAATTTATGGCACATGGTACGGATCTGTAAAATAGCGATATGGATTAGAAATAGAAATAACTCATTATAAATTTAATATTTTATATTATAAGTTCGGGTCTCAATAGTAATGCTAGGATTTTGTTAACCTGTAAATACCTTTGGATCCAATACACCCAAACTTTTGGTTATTAAAAAAGGGGAAATTTTATGTTTGGATTTAATCATGAAAAACGGATATATGTAGAATTTATAAGGTATAAAATGATATATTATTTGAAATAAAAACATTTAAAATTTTATGATGCAAAAATAGTGAATTATTACAATTTTATACTATAAATAAATTCAATCAAATCTATGGCAAAAAAAAAAAAAGAAGTAAATTTAATCAAACCGGAAAGGAAGTAAAATCTGCCTTCATTTCCTTTTTTTGGGGGCAAAATCTACCTTCATTTACCCAAAAACAAATTTAGGCTAATTAGGATTTGGGTTTTTTTTAACCCCAAACTTCTAGGATTGGCAGTCATTAATAAAATTTATGAAACGTGGCCTCCATAGCTCCATTTGGAGTGTTTGGATAAAAATAAATTATAAATTTAAAAATATATAACTTCATTTAAAATATTTGAATGAAAACAAACCGTAATTTTAAAAATACGATATGTAAAAAAAAAAAACGATATGCAAAATAGACAATAAAACAAAAGGCTTCCAAGGACCTTTTTATTATTTACCTTGAAAACCAAATAAAACCTAATTCCATCGCCAACCCGGACCCACCGCTGATTCGATCGAGAATCCTTACTTTTGTCGCATCGTCATGTCCAAAAACGAGGACGAAGATGCATCAGAACTCAAATTTGGGGAGGGTATTTTGTTTTTCATTCTTGATTTAAAGTTCTCCATCGAACAACTTGCAAGTAACATGTAGCTTCGATCCTTTCTTTTGAATTAATTCACCCGTACCAATTGTTTGAGTAAGGCTTACGAGTCTGTCTGACGTGTGTATATTGAAAGCACAATCCTTCTGCTTTGTGGGGTTAACAATGCAAATATTAAATACCTCGTAAAGACGCCCCAGTTGAGCAGGCTCCAATCTGGTATTCTTCATTTTTCTGGTTTACAGATTCTCAACATTCATTAATTAATGTTGGGGCCTCAGACTTGTGTCGCCTAATTTGTTGTTTATTTGATTAATATCCCAAGCTTCTCCTCAATTACTTTTGATAAAAGCGAGGTGGCTGTGCTGGAATTATTTCTCCATTAATACTATTTGGAAAAAGATAAACCAAAATTATAGGTTGGATTATCTCATGATTAAGGGAATTAAGGTCATTGAGGCCAAGTTTCTGGAGTGAATATGTATGAGGGACCCCATTGTTGTACCAATTTGGTGTTTTTGTTATGAGCCCCTCACTCTCATTAAAATGAGTGATTTTCAAAGAAAGTGAAGAGATTGATGACAGACAAACTTTCCTACCACTAAGAGGAAACTATCATGTTTAACTTCTAGTCTTGTGATGTGACTTTAACTTTGTTCACGCATTAGCTATAATTAAAGGGGACCCTATCCATTTGCACGAGGCCCAAAATGAACCACATTGTTCTTGAATAGATAGTGCAGCTCTTTATGCCTTTATATATTTTATACCGATGGCACCTCAATCACTATTCTTACAAGTAACTACTAACTAGCACTAAATCATATAGGTTACATACAGGTGGTGTCTGTATATAGTTTGATTTATCAGTCTATGGATGCCTTTATCTTTTGTTGAACAGCTTAATATGGACTTTCTGTCCCCCAGCTCATTACACTTGGCCCCTCTGTTGTTAGTTGCTTTTTCTTTCACCTCAAGTCGCAACTTGAGTAATTGAAAATTCACTGTTTCCAATTCAAAACAAATATATAAAGGAGGACAATATGGAAGCATCCTAAAAGAACTAAAGGTAAGGAAAGCTATACGAACAAAAGCACTTGAGCTCCATCCTCCAGACCTGAATTTACGTTGCTAATTGATCTGACACCCCTTTCGTCTACTGAAGCATCTAAAATGAATATCTGTTTTTGTTGTTTGGACAAGCAGTTAGATAATTTTACTGAATGTGATTAACATTTAGTCAAGTTTGCTTTGAGCCTGCCCTGTTCTATTTGGTTGCTTTCTTGTCCATGCTTGGTGAAGCTATTGATTTTGTCTCGATGTTGCGCCTTTCAGATTTTGAGAAGGCCAAATGTTTAATGAACTGTGAAGTTGCCCTTCTCTTAGAGCACAAATTGGAGCAGTTCAAACAAATGTCTGGTGATTCAAATAATCATACGCCCCAGTGAGCAATCGATACTATCATATTAATCAATTAAATTCAGATGGAGATTATTAAGCCAATTCTTTGTTACAACCTAGTAATCAATGAACATTCTTACTTGGGCTCTTTTCTTGGCATTTTTTCAGATGTTTCTTTGTTCTAAAGAAATCATTATTTTTTATTTTACAAGAGTGTTTGAGAAGTCTCTGCAGTATGTCAAACGCTTCAGCCGCTTCAGTAATCAAGACGCTGTGAAGCAAGTTCGAGAGTATCCCTCACTGTTTATTTTACATAGCATCTACTTCATTTGAGTTTATTTCTATCTGTTTGAACCTTAACTAGAATTTAGAGTTCTGAGCAGATATCAGCTCGCTGAGTACGAGGTACAAAACAATTTAGTATAAAAAAGAGTTCCCAATATAGAAGGAATTTATAACAACCGTGTCACTCTTTTGCGATGCAGCTTGCTGTGCTTGGGAATTTATGCCCTGAAACTGTGGAGGAAGCTATAAGTGTTATTCCAACTCTTAAGGTTTGTCCCCTTTAATATTTTTCAGAAGTCTACTTTATAACATATTTGATGCACAAAGTATCTGCACTATGTTAAACAACTTGCCATCTAGCTCGTGGAATCTTTTTAGTCTGGATGCTTTTCCCATTTATCAAGGTATCTGATCTAATCTTAAATGATATGAGCAGTCACATTTTACAAACTGTGAAATTTTAATGTATAAGTAATGGCAGATTGTAGAATATTTCTTTTTAACACCGTATCATTTAGCCCTTTTGCTCTCAAGTCTCCTAATGGTTTTAAATTTTGCATCCCCCTAATTGCTCAACTACCTTATGAAGTTAGATGTTTCAAGTTGGGCAGTGCGGGAATTTTGGTTTTCCTTGTGTATTGTAAGGAAATTGGGAAAAAGAATTATAATTTCTGTTGTGGGTCAAATTTAGAGAAGATATTGTTCATGTATCTCAAATTTGAGATTTTTATTAGCTGAGCAGGGAACTTTGTTCTTGACTTCCCCCCATCCCCCGGGTTTTCTTCCTTTGACTACGTATTATTCATTTCTTCCTCGTAAATCTTAAAAAAGCTCAGTTCTGTACTGTTCAGATTATCGTCAGGTCGAATCTATTTGGGCTTCTTTCAAAAGAAGTCAAATTTGGGCTGATTGGATGGGAAAGTGGGCTAAAGTTCTATGTTTTGGCCCAAACAAAAAAGATAAAGTACTTGGTTTTACTTGTTGCCTTCTTTTTTATTTGGTTTACTTCTTTTCACGAGAGTGATTGTGATTGTAGGCTAAAGGTCGACTTGATGCAGATGCAATTGAGAAGTTGCTGAATGATCTTTTAATGATCAAAAAGTTTGAATGAATGCCCCCTTTTTTTGGGTACATAACCGGTCACTTAGTTTGTCTGGGCTATAGATTGTCATCTAGATTTGATAATCAACATGTCAAGGGATCCCCCCTTCCCTCTCCTAATCTTCTCTATTACTGAGATAAGGAATAGTGGCTAACGTACTGTCATTTGTGATGATTTTATTTTTATCTTGAAATAAAAAAAGTTAAAATTGCTACCCTTTTAATGCTTTTACAATTGTTTTGCTCATGATTTTTATTACTACGTCATTTTTAAAATTTCTAATAAAAGTATGGTTTTAAACACGTAAATCGGAGTTTATTAAAAAAAATTTATGCGATGCATTTTTCAAATGATTATTTTGCCAACGATCAAGGGGTTACATTCATACAACGCATGTATCTGGATAAATTGTGAGGAATGGATAGGTTATATTGATAGGAACGAATAATGATATTTATATATTGAAGTATTTGACACTTCAAAATAAACCACAGCAAATTTCATGGAAAAGAAGAAAGAATAAAAGCAAGTCACATAACATGGAAGTTATTACTATAATGAGAAGAGGTACAGGCTGCGTTTCTGATGAGTATGGAAACATTAATGATTAATCCTTTGGAGATGGATGTCTGGCAGCCAAATTCTCTTTCTTTTTAGGAAATGCGTTGTATTTCTTCATGGTGTTCTTTCTCATCAACTCCATCTTTTTCACTGAGAGAGAGAGACAGCTAAAAAAATGCCAGGTTAAACCGGAAAAGGAAGCCTCACAGAGACTTGTGAATAAACCAATTTTGAGGCCATAAGAAATTCTTCTAATTTCCAACTCATCTGTAAATGTTTGAGCAGCCAATATGTGCCCCATCATTATCCAAGTATCTGGTTTTCTTTTCCCATCTTTTGACCAGAAGTCTCTTGAAAGAATTGTAAAATTGTTGATATAAGAAATAAAGCTGTTACCAAATATGATAACATTACTTAATAGGTTTGGTTTCCAATTTGCTTCTAAAAGGTTGTTATATAATCTTAGATCACAATGTGGCATAAAGAAGATAGTTGGTTTCAGAGCTTGCCTCCTTCCATCTTCATTGATAGATAAAACAGTAAAACCGAAAGACTTCAAAATTTGGATTTCAGTTGTGGAAAGAATAGGATCAAATACTTCTACATCACCTATCCAACTGAAATCTTTTTTCATTAATATTGCAAGACTAAGTTGAAACTTAGAATATTTGCTTCTCTCATTCAAAATACTGCCAATACCATAAATTACCATTTGCATCTTTGAGTTTGATCCCAAAACTCTTCTTATGTGTTTAGAAATTGGTTTTCTTTGTACCTCGTTCCGAAAATCATGATAAAATTGAGACATCTCAAATTCGTTTATAAAATTTTTCATGTTGCGTATCAATTCTGTCAGAACCCATGATTCTCCCTTTTCATCATTCACAGATTCATCAACCATGACGATTTTCGTCGACGTTGCCATTTATCCTTGATGATTTGTTTGACTTGTTTCTGACAAGAAGAATAAAATGCAAGTGATATGAAACATACGTATATGTCATACAATAAGAAACAAGCAATTGCATATTACTCATCCTAATATTCATCAAGATCTTATTTTAGGAGAAGAGAAGATATATTCCTAAACTAAAATATCAAAAGATATTACTAAAATCGGTTAATATTCATCGGCCAAAATTTGTAATAAATTAAACATTCACCATGCATATAAAGAGCACGTAAAGAGCATGAATAATCGGTTAATCCAAAGTGTATGTAGTTTAGTTTTTGAAAAAATTCTAGACAATATATTTAATAACGCACCTCAATTCAATTATTAATGACATCCTAATATGAAAATAATACTCTTAGAATTAAAAAACTAAACAAGGTACGGATAAAGGAAAGACAACGTTAAAAGATAAAGAACGAAGGAGAATAGCTTACCAGGGAAAAAGAGGGAGAGACAAGCTCAACACTTGGATGACGGATGAGATGGGAGCCTCTATACGTGTGTGTGTATATATATATATATATATGTCTCCCTTTAAGATATATCGATTGATAATTCCTACGTTGTTATCTCAATCAATGAGATAATATCTATGATTTAAATATATTGCAATCTGCATTATAAATTTATGAGATCGGATAATGGATTAAACCCTAATTAAATTCATATTAATGGGTAAATGTGGATCAAACACTTCAATGTATTTTTCTATATGCATCGATCCAGTATCTAAAAATATTTCATGCTGTATTTGGTATTCAAAGTATTTTTTTTTAAATACACACACTATATTAAATTATTTTTTAGTGTAATTTTATTCTTAGCAATTTAGGGTGTTAGACAGACTTAAAAAAAAATAGATGCATCAAAATATAATTAAGATACTGTACATTACTAAAAAAATATTTTAATGTGCTGAATATACCACAAAATAATTTAAAATAGGGAAAATTAATTTGAAGGTCCTTATGATTTACTTTCATTTTGAATCAGGTCCTTCTATTTTTTTTCCTTTTTGTCAGACCCTTGAACTTTCTGTGGTTAAATCCGTTACTCCCCAAGGGTTAAATCTGTTAAATAAGCATTAACATTGTTAATAGTTTCCGTTAGCCACCTCTGAAACAACACGTTCTCTCTCTCTCCACTATAACCATAGGTTCGTACAACCTCTACTCTCTCCTTGGCTCATTCCGAACACCATCTCTTTCCCCTCCATCCACTCAACCAGTAAATGACCTATCGTTCCTTCCCTGCTCTCCATAACACCTTTCCTTCCCTTGCTCACAAAGTCACCGGAAGCCTTTTCAGCGATCCCTACGGTCACGTTTCCTTCGCCATCCCTCTCGACTCTTGTTAGATAATCACGTAACAGAACAACATGAAAGAAGAAAAAAACGGTAGTCTAGAAACTTGGGGAAGCTTGGAGTGAGGAATACAATTAGAGAACGATGAAATGAAGAGGTGCTTTTGAACTCTATATGTAAGACATATAAAGCAGCATGGAATATAATTTTAACTCAATACATATCATCTTTACTTGTAAAATTATATATATTATATATTACTTTATATACAAATACAGGAAAAAGAACGCAAGTGTTAGTAGGAGCATGTGTTATATATAGGATGGTCACGCTGAGGAAGAAATTAGAACAATATATGCAGAGGGTATATGAATGAAGAATTTTAAAAAAGTAAAGGATGGGCTCCCCTGTTTTAGTATTAAAAAACAGAGGCATTTATCAAATCTTATTAAAACGCTATTTGTACCGTATGGAATTTTGTTACAGACTAGTTTTAGCCACCTCATATTATTCATTATCATTCTTTATTTTCAGAAGCATCCCAACAACCATTAATGCCTGCGTCATGGTGACACCGTCATCACCATCCACTGCAGCGGCGTTTCTTCCTTTTCAACCGGCCAAGAAGTACGTCAGAATTCTTTCCCCACAATTTTACTTTTTGAGTGTTTCATTAAGGTATGAATAGCTTCGTATGAGAAGATCATCTAGTGTAGCTTCTTTGAGCTGTGATATTGTCTTCTTCTCCAGTGCATCTCCTCCTGCTTTGGAAACATCCGATATGTTTTTTGTTCGCAATGATCCAAACATATACCTTGTTGCTGTAGAGGACCCTGAGCTCATCTCCAGGGGCACATTGGAGAGTATAAACTCTATCAGCTCTTTTTGTTCAGCCTCTAAAACTACAGATGCGGATGACAGTGACGACCACATCAGCGGCTTTCAACTTGACCTTAAAGCACTTGGAATGTATTTCTTTTCAACTTTCTATGATCTGGAGTGGCACGAACCAAGAAGAAAGGAGGGCCTGCTTGGATATGGCGTTGTGGCAGAGGGAGGAGACGTTTCAGTCATTGCTAACGGAAATCATTGACGGTATTAATATTTATTTGACAGCGGGGACCAACGGAGCTAACAGATAAACTTAAAGGATCTAATAAAAAATAAAAAAAGCATAAGGACCTGATTCAAAATAGAAGAAAACTGTAAGGACCTGCAAATTAATTTTCCCTTTAAAATATTAGATACACTTGCAAAATATTTCAAGGTGCTTAACCCTATATCAAATCATATAATCTCAATATCTAGATTATTCGGAGAATATAAATTAAATCTCTTATTTAATTTATATAGATAACGAACCTTACCAAAATCTAAACAATTTGGCAGGAGCAGGTGATGAAGGAGCGGGGTATTAGATGCTTATTGTTCAATGGATGCCAAATGATCGATTTGAACATTTTTTTTTTCTTTTTTTTTTCTAATTATTAGATTAATATTTTGATGATTGAGATTTAAATATTTTAAAACTATTATTAAAATATTAAATTATAAAAATAAATAATAAATTACAAATGCTATTAAATTTAATTTTAATAATTTTTAAATGGACTAAATATTTTTAAAATTTTTTATAAATAGTTTATAAAAATTAAAATATCATCCGTTAAAATATTTTAATCCAATAGTTACAAAAAAAGGTGAGGAAAGAGGACGGAAGGGGACCAAACGATGCAGGGATCAATTAAAAAACGATAAAGGCAATGTAATTAAAAATTGATTATCATATAAAATAACAAAACAAAGCCGAAAGGTAATCACGGATTCTGATGTCTTTTTTTTTAAAAGACATTGAAGGCCCAGGCAGCCAGGCCCAACCACAACATTGCAAAAAAAGGTAATCACGTCTGCAACCCTCGTCCTTGCCTCCCCGACATAATCTCCAACATCATTATCCTTCGCGCAGCCGTCTCATCGTCGGCGGCATCAAGTAATCCGGCATCATCGATCATCATCGAGAACTTTCACCCATCCTCTCCTCCGTCCGAATCGATCCCCCATGTCTCGTCCGCAGTTCCACTCACTCCTTCCATCCACGGTTCGGATCCATTCCGTTCTCGCCAGATTCGATCTCCATCTCCATCCTTTCCTTTCCACCATTATCCTTTATCCTTCTATATTAACCTATCATTCCTAGGGGCAAGAATGGTTCCTCTGTTGATTACAGTAAACTTTCTTCAACGGAATCTTCACAGTCACCCGATACAATGCAAGATGCAAAAACAGGTATTAAGGTTGCTCATGGTGAATCGAGAAGTACAATTAAAGGGAAGAATGGACTTCAATGCAGTCTCTGGAAATTCAATATCTGATGATTTGAAAACGGTTTCCTCCTTATTAAGTGGCGTTTCTGATTCGGATCCAGACTTCAGTTCGTCTGGTTCTGAAGGGTTGAACATGATGGGGAGGAAAGGAAAAAGCGGCGAGAGAGAATTCTAGCTCAGAAAGCAGCATCTAAAGCAATAGAGGCTATCAAAGAACGGGAGGATATGGTAGCGAAAGTGGAGGGTGAGAAACAAAGCTTGGAGAAAATACTGGAGGAGAGAGCTAAACAGAAGAAGAAGAGGTAATGTTATTATTACCCTGCTGCAAACTTCTTCTCCTCCTCCTCTTTTGCATTGCAATTTTTATGCGAAATGTACTTTCAGATTGTAGGATATTAGTTATTCTGGGGAATTTTCATTGTGTTAAATTATCTCCTTAGGAGTTAAAAGTGCTTTGTAGCGTAAGCCTTTATAATTTTACTCTATGGCTGTTCTGGTTAGTACTTCTTTTTCTTAATTATTTTGCTCTATTTTTATATGCTCATCCCTTAAGGCTTCACAGCTTCAAACCACTGTGATGGAAACAATGGAAGCTGTTAAGGTAGAAAGCGCAAAAACATAATAATACTAGAATGGAGGTCCTTGTCTTTTCAGCTAAACTGGAGGTATGTCCACCCAATTAAGCCATTTTTTGTGCCAAATATTAATGCATGTTTATCTTATTACATGTTTCAGTAGTTGATGTTCCAGTAAATAAATCATGAGGAGTATGTTTAAATTTGTTTTTCATGAATGGCTTGATTAATTTTGTTGATAAATATCTGGGAGGTTTGCAGACATCAAATGCTTATCTTGCACGATCCCTCTGTGGAACCTTGAAGTAGAGGTACGTTGAGATCCTCACTCAGACGTACTGCCACCTGGGACCCTTTGTTTTGTTTTGTCCCCCCCCCCCCCCCCCCGGGGGTTGGAAAACTTTTGGAGAAGCTTCTGAATACTTTGCTCTTTGGGGGGTTAATTCACTGACAATGGTATTTCTTAGAGTTGCTTTACTAAGCGAAATATTGTTTTCTAGTTTTGCCGTTCTGTTAGCATCCTTATCTTTGTTAGATATTTCGGTTACAATTTGTCTTGCAGATCTAATTGTGGGATCAAATGAAAATATTAGAATCTGGATTGTAGTTTGTTCTTCGCTGACCACTTCGTTGTAGAGTTTTACCTATTCGCTTACCTGGGTATGACATATTGGCTTGCTTTTCCTACTGGAAAGCTTGTATGCAGATTGCTTATTTTATTTCTCTAACATATTAAAAGAACCACAGCACAAGGAGGCTTCCAGCTCAAGTGCGGGGGGATAACACAAGGTATTCTTTTGAACCAATTTTGTCTGGGTTTGTCATCAATATTTCTTGTAATCCTTTTTTCTGGCCTGAAAATTACGTATTCAAAATATTGTAGACTGATTTAATGAAAATGGGATTAAAATCTGAATTCGTGGACTTTGCTCACTATATTAGAAGAATCTTCTAATAGAGAAGGGCCTCATGTGTGTTTCAACCACCAATTCAAGTTAATAGGAGTTGCGTGATTGTTGGACTAATTCAAGTCAGTAGGCCTTGCAATTTTTGAAACTTCTTAGTTGTTTGCCATCTTACTGACTTCATATCTAACAAGAGAACGGCAATTTAAAAACTGGTTTTCATTTATTCTATTAAATTCTATCAATGTGTTTACATATCATACTTATAACTGGCATAAATGAAATCTTTCTTACCATTAACTCTAACTTATAAAAGAAACTCAGATGCAGAGTTGCAAGTTGCTAGCAAAGTATCACTTTTAAGGGAGAAGAAAGAGGGGAGAACACAGTTTACAAAAAGAGAGAACTATTAAAAGGTGTAGCCACATAAAACTGAGTTTGCAACTGCTCAAACCAGTAGCAGATATTAGTATTCATAGGTGAAAACTAGTCTGTAATTGGTAGGGGGAGAAAACACCTCTTAGAAATAATGGCCGCAGATAGGGCATCTAACCTGAGGGGCCACCTCAAACCACTGGTCGATGCACCTTTTATGGTATGGGTCGCCACATTCTAGTTTAATTGTTTTCCCCCTCTTGAGGTGCTGTAGGCATATGGTGCACTTCTCTTTCGGAGGAGCTTGTATTACTTGATAGCCAGCAATTTCGCTGAATGGTTTGAAGTCCCGTTCAGTGAAGTGGCCAACCCCTCTAAATCGGTTGCCGCAGGTTGCACAATCATCTGGGGTCTGCTTCAGTGAGTGACAAAACCGGTTGCACTGATTGCACCAATCCACGCTTCAATGAAGAGGCTGGTTCAGATGGAATAGGAAAGATGATGTGTAATTAATTTAAAAAAAAAAAAAACAGACAAACCAAACTTGGCTAAACTCTTGAAAACTCTGCTGCTTAAAATGTGGAATTCCAGAAATGCAAGCTAACTTAACTCAGAACACAATTAACTCAAATGATTCCAACTTCAGGTTGCAACCATAAGCTTCTCAATAAATTTCAGATGAAACAGAATTTTTAAAGCAGTAACAGGTCTCTCCCCATCAACCAGCAACCAAGCAAATGACTTCACAATGACATTTAACAGTCCAGATTAAGATTATAACCACAAAATACTGGTTTCCAGTAGTGGGTTCCGAGTAACTATAGCAATAGGCAATTCAGATAGAAATTCAAATGCTTCACCAGAAGTCAGGATCAAGATGGTCACTCCCAATTTGAACGCACTAACAGAAATGAGTTAGATACAGAACAGTGACAGAAAATCGTGTGAACCTTTTTCTTTTTTTTTCAGTTTTATTATTTTCTTTTTACTTTTCTGCAGCAAAGTGGTTTGCTAGGGAATCTCAACAAGCTAAACTCTTGAAAACCCTACTACTTAAAATGTGGAGTTCCAGAAATGCAAGCTAACTTAACTCAGAACACAATTAACTCAAATGATTCCAACTGCAGGTTGCAACCATAAGCTTCTCAATAAATTTCAGATGAAACAGAAAATTTTTAAAGCAGTGACAGGTCTCTCCCCATCAACCAGCACCTAGAGCAAATGACTTCACAGTGACATTTGACAGTCCAGATTAAGATTCTAACCACAAAATACTGGTTTCCAGCAGTGGGTTCCAAGTAACTATAGCAATAGGCAATTCAGATAGAAGGTCAAATGCTTCACCAAAAGTGAGAATCAAGATGGTCACTCCCAATTTGAACGCACTAACAGAAATGAGTTAGATACAGAACAGTGACATGGAAACCAGAACATCGTGTGAACCATTTCTTTTTCTTTTTCAGTTTTATTATTTTCTTTTCACTTTTCTGCAGCAAAGTGGTTGTTAGGGAACCTCAACAGGCTAAACTCATGAAAACTCTACTAAAAGTGTATTGGCATGTTTCCAGATTGGCAAGGGAATCAAGATTAAAGAGCTCTGGTTCTTGATCAACGGTGAATGTCAATACGGGGGAAATTCTTGAGCAGGCACTTTCCTAATTATAATATGGAAAAAAAAAGGGGCTCTAATGATAATGTATTCTTGATGCTAATCTAAGTCCATAAACAGCGCGTTGAAATCAAAGAGAGACGTAATGCTTTAAAGTTTAACGAAGTTATTGAAATTGCGGAGGGGGGGGGGTACCTGAAATCTTGGAGGCACGCCAATAATTGATCCGAAGCAAGATTAAATTCAATTCGCGAACGACTAAGTGATGATTCAGAAATCTTGGAGGCACGCCAATAATTGATCCGAAGTAAGATTAAATTCGATTCGCGAACGACTAAGTGATGATTCAGAAATCTTGGAGGCACGCCAATAATTGATCCGAAGTAAGATTAAATTCGATTCGCGAACGACTAAGTTATGATTCAGTGGTGATTCTGGTTGGTGAAATGAAAAAGCTTCAATTTATACAGAAGGACGGATGCCCTTGAAGAGAAATCCGTTAACAAGATGACATTAGGCCTTGTAAAGGGCCTTAACTAGTCAGTGACGTTTGGATATTTTAGTAAATTGAATAAAAAATAGTTTTCTTGAAAAAAAATATATTACATGCATGAGTTTTGAATTATGTATTGTAAATCATGCGGATGATTTCTTCACTTTTAAGAAAATATTACTAGCTTCACTTTTATAAATTTGAGTTAACTTCAAACGACATATTAAAATAATTTTTATTTATATACTTATACATATTATATAATTAATAACTGAAAAAATATATTGTACTCTATCATCCAGACCTGGTATGACGATGGTACAAGAATTTTTAGAGCTAGTACTATAAATTTTAATGTGTTCATTTAATTTTTATTCACGTGCTTTAATTGATAAATAATGCTCTAATTATATTTTGAGGGTAAAGGATGTGTTAGGTTCTTTAAACCTATATCAACTTCCTCATAAAACCACCTCTCTAATTGTCATTCTCATTAAACAAGCTTTCAGGATGTAACCCCCTCGCTTTGCAATCCAGGGCTAGGCCCTTCTTTCAAATTCCAAAACAAAATCCATCAGGAAAAAATAAAAATAAAAATAACTAAAGGATTTTAATATACGGATGTTCCGGAGCTTCAATCATGCAGGCCTATTTGATTATAGCACTATTGATAACATATATTTCCGTGTCTGCTGATTTGTTTTTTGGGCCAAAGTGTCTGCTGATTCAAATGAGCCGAAAAAAATATATATATTTGATTTTCTAAGTTTACCTCAGATTTAGTTTCTTAGCATACCTTTAGTTATTTTTTAAATAATTGTTAACACCATTAATCTCGTTTAATGAAAAATGCTAACTTATATTTTAAAATTTAAACAATTAAATAATTAGATATACGATAAAATACTAAAATTACTAAAGTATTAAAAATTTAGGTGTTTTTTAAAATAATTATATTAAAGAATTTAAATTTAAGGTATACCTTGATAACATTTAATTGCAGAGTTATCATTTAAATTTGTTGTGTCAACATTTTGGTTAATCTTTGTTGGGCTTTGTTGGCCCAAAAGTGGCTTCTTGTGCTTGAAGGCATAACATCCCCCGACTTTTGCACAGTAGATTATAAACTTACACTAAAAATTCACTCAATGTTACAAATTTTTGTTGGGCTCAAATCTATCAAAGCAGGTTTAAAAACAGTCAAATAATGACAATGCCGTTGAATTGAGAAAATGTTTGTTAAATTTGATAATGGGATCCATGATATTTTTAATGAAAGAATCAAAATATCTCCGATTAAATTAAAATAAAAAGGTTAAAGGTCACAAATACCCATAAACTTAAACCAAAAATTTACCAAACACTCTATACTTTCGTTGGGTGCAAATCACCATTAAAACACCATAACAGTAGCGTTTTACCTCTTCAATCTCTTTCATCCCACATTCCGATACCATAATACTCTCAATTCATTTACAACTTCATAACCAACAATTTCCTTACATGAGAAATCCTTCACATTGTGATCTTCTGTCTTGGCTGTCTTAGATCTCGCCTTGAAGTTATGAGCTGCCATTGCTTGTGAAGTTATGATCCTTCTCACTTATGAACCCCAAAGCTTCATTCTTAGGTCCGATTATGTAGATATAAAGAATACGAATCCATCTTGTAAGAAGGTGGGTTTTTTCTTGGAAGGGAGATGAATTGAGAAGACAATCGAAAGGTTGGAGGGAGATGATAATGGACCTGTTTGTTGCAGCATTTAAAGAGGCAAAAAGTAACTTTTAAATATGATAAGTCAGTTTGCAAATTTAAGAGTTGTTTCTAACAATTTTTGGCTAACTTGATTCACGAGTCAAAAGTTGTTTTCTTAAGCACGATTACAAAAGTACATAAAACTTACTTATGACTTATGCAAAAATAGCATTTTGGAATTAAAAGACATTTTGCCTTCATGTTTATATTGTTCTTGTACTTTTCTCTATACATTCATTGTGTTTCCTAATCAGTTTTTAGTTATTTATTTTTATTTTTTAAGCAAAAGTAATTTTTAACAGTTTTAACCATTTTTTTATTTTAATATTATTTTTTATTTATATTTACATAAATTATGCAAAGTATATCATCCAATTAATTATGTAATATTATTTGGTTCAAAAATTTTTACATTACTTTGATTTTTAATTTAAATATATTTTATTCATCAAATATAACTTCTTCATATTATAATAATTTAAAATTATTATATTTTGTAAATTTATATTTGTAATCATTTTTCATTTTTAATAAAGGTCATACCTATTTTGATCATTCTACAAACTAAATTTACTTATTTAATTATAATCCAAACAACTTTTCTACTTTACAAACTAACTTTTATAAAAGCCAATCCAAACACAAATCACATTAACTAATTGAAAATAAGTGACTTCTTTAGTGCCAATCCAAATGGACCTGATTTTCTTTTTTTTTTTTAATTAGTAGTATTTTGGTACTTTCATTAAAAATATTATGGATCCCACTACTAAAAGTGACTTTAAATTCTCTCAAAGAATTGAATATAAATGTAAAAGAAATTCTAGGTCAACTGTTAAATTTGATAATATAGACTGGACATATATACTACTGATGCAAACAACTTGTTTTTAAAAACAACTATAATGTCTACTGAAAAAAAGATTGGGAATATAAACAACTTGTGTTGAAAAGCAATTCAATTCAAGTTTAAACATTTTCACATAAGTTATTTTAATTACAAAATTTATTATAATTAATAATCTTTAATACAATATAATGCTATAAACCTTTGAGATCGCGGGTATTTTGATATTTTCATAAAAATTATATGGTGTTTGGTGAGTTTTGATATAAGTTCATAGGAATTTTTTACCTTTAAATTTTTTTTAATTGGAAGTATTTTAGTGCTTTCATTAAAGATATCGTGAGTCTCTTTATCTAAAGTAACAGACATTTTCTCAATTCAATGACATTGTCATTATCGTGTTGTTTTTGAACTTGCCTTTTAGATTTGAGCTGAACAATAATTTATGGTATTGGGTAAATTTCTGGTATAAGTTTTATAGGTATTTTTGACCCTTAATCCTAGATTGTAAGACATGAGAAGATTGCTTATGTGTTATGACCAATAGGATTGAGTCTAGTATAAGGAATTAGTCCTCACAACATAACAATCAAAATTAAAATCCTTAGATGCCTGCATTTAGTATCCGATAACATTTTGAAGAAGATTATCTTCAATAAGAAGATACATGTTTAGCCAAAAAGAAGAAGAAAAAGATTGCTTATATTATGTGAGTTAAAAGAGAAAAAAAGTGAGAAAGAGGACCTCGCATCTCTAAAAGAAGCCAAAATAAAGGATCTCCCCTCTTCCTTGCTCATTTTTCCTAATTGTTAGATTAACAAATTTCAATATTCAGATTTAAATATTTTTAAAAATCTTTAGTGCATTTGTAAACTATTTAGATTAAATTTTAATAGTTTGTATTTTATTATTTATTTATTTTTATAATTTAATAATTTAATAATTATTTTAAAAAAATTTAAAATCTGAACTATTAAAATATTAATATATAGGTTATAAAAAGAAGATGGAAAGGAAAAAAGGGATTTGAACTTATCTTCAGAAAAGTTAATTTTTGTGCTTGCCTGCTTGCTATCTTCAGAAAAGTTATAATCATATCATGGAATGTGATCATACTATAATTACGCTCGTAAAAAATTATTTTGTAATTTGGCAAATTTTAATTGTTTTTTAATATTGTTAGAGATTGTTATGGATTTATAATTAATTTTAATGTTTTAGGATGATTTTTATATGATTTTAGGCCTTTTTTTAATCTAATTGTGTGAAATCTTGGTTCTCATAAAGAAAAAAATTTAAAACAAAAACAAGAAAACTAAGGTCTTGGACCTGTCTAAATAGTCCGGTAATCAAATCCAATCTAGTTTGATCTTGGGTTTTTGATGGACCAGACTGGACTATAGATTGTTCGTAACATCCTAAATTTTATTTAGGTTTATAAGTAGTTATTTATAAAAAATTTGGATTAAATCTTTGATCATTTAAATTTAAATATATATAATAGTAAATTAAAAAAAGATATTTAAAAGAGAATCAAATCAAATAAAATAAAATAAACATAAATACACATATATAACTATATATATATTTTAGGTACAATAGCTTTCTAAATTTTCAATTTTGTCCTATTGTAATCTTAGCTTTTACATATAGACACACACACAAATAAAAACCTCCCCCAGACCACGTTATACTGTGACTTAACTTTACGTGTATATTTATATATGGGAAAATGACAGAAAAACGACAAATAAACTTCATAATGTCAAAAATATCACCTAAATAAGGAAAATCCCGTTTTGATCACTTTAGACTAAATTGGGATTTTTATGTTAAATGCAATGACCAAACTGCCCTCATCAAATACAAAATGTGGGCACCACATTAATCTGCACCAGACGAAGTGTGGCCGAAAGGAAAAGAGAGACAACGTGCAACAGCACAGGCTTAAAGGTGAGGAGAAGGTGGTGGTTCAAAAGTGTAAGTATTTTTTTGAAATTATATGACTCGTTTCATCCTCTTAGCATCACTATAGTTATCTATTTTTTTCCCATTTTGGTGGTTCTGGGTTCTATATAAGTCAAAGGTTCAGAGGAGGTGAGGTGCGGCATTATATAAGGCGGATGTTATTCATATTGAGGTGTTGGTTCTTCTTTTTTAGGTGTGAGAGTGGTCAGAAATTTGAACATATGAGTTGGTTAGTGTTGGATAAGGTTAGGGTTCTAGGCAAGTTAGTTTTTTTCATCTTAAGAGGGAGATGATAGTGCAGCAATACACAAGTCAATTCATCTTGCAGGATTTGTTTTTAACTTGTGGGAATTGTTAGATTTT